AGTTTACGTGGCGATCTGAGCTCAGTGGGTAGACTACTGGCTTAGGCGGCTGCTGTCGTTGGATCGAATCCCAGTTGAAAAAGTCTGATGAGGAGATGTGGTGATCTCCCAAATAGCAGCTATAACTTCTACCAAGGAGTAAATTGTTGTTGTTGCAAAAATTTTCATTAAAAATGGTATCAAGCTTTAATCATTATTTTAAAATTTACGGTTACTGTTTATTAACAAATTGTATTGAAAACACATCTATAGTCAGCAGAAGCTACATATTTTTACTACTATGAGTACAACTAGGAAATGTTATTTCGAATAAACTATTTATTTTACATTGCAATGCTATGTATAAGCGATAAACTATTTTTTTAATGCATATTTATGTATATACACAAATAGGTGAATAGATTCGTATATGATTATTTGTTTTGTAATGTTATTTAGTTATTTGTTTATTTTTTTTTCTTTTGCTATCATAAAAGTTTATTAAAAGCCGTCGTTCTTGAATGAGTTTATATTCATTAACATCAAATATTTTTGTAGCTTTCGATTGCTAATTGGCCTCAAAATTCAAGATTTCTTTCAAATATACTTTAAAAAATAGTTAGTTTTTTTATTTCATGAAAATTTTAAATACTCAGATATGGGCCCTTTTCGAAATTGCATATTCAATTAGATGAATAGTTTTCTCTAATTACTCTTAATCTTCTTCCATCTTTCATCCATTCCAATGGTACTATTTTTATTTCATAATATTATTTAGTTAAATAGGGCAACAGTTAGGCATGGAGTAGGCCTACAGGGGAAACCACGTTAAAAACGCGCCAAGTACAGTACCTCACAAGTAGAGTGAAAATTGTGCATATTATGGAGAATACAATTTATTGAAACGTGACAGAACAATTTTTATAGATAATTGCATAAAATTATCATATGTGCTAGAAACCAAATTTTACAGGCGTGGGTTTTTTCTACATTTCAAAATTTTGTGATTTTTTTACTAGTTCAGAATACTTTTGTATGTCAAATACGATAATTTCACAGCAAAAAAATTAGTTGTAACATACAATAAAAAATTGTTGGCGCAACTATAGGGATTGAAGCTACACTATTTTACCAGGTGATGCGTTGTGGGGTGCAGAACAAATTTGCACCAAAAAGTCAGCTTGGATAAAAAATGCAAACACTCCATATATGTGACCTGCAACCTTGAATAAATATTTTTTTCAGATATGGTAACGATGCGGACTTTTCATATTTAACATATTTAACACATTCGTACTAATTTTCAGCTTTATGCAAATTATTGCAACCTTGAATGACAAACTTGACTGGGCAATTAGTTAAAAAATCACTCGAATCGGGTACTTACTAAAATAAATTTTTACTGTTTTAAAATCTTTACAAAATGGAATTTGGCAATGAAATTTACAGGATATGCCTTTCATACATTAACTCGTTGCGCACTTGAGAAAACTGTAACCCTTTATGAATTTAGATGTGAGTTCGCGCACTAACTAATATTTCTTCAGCTGCTTTGATTCCACCTCAACATCAATTTGTACCAGTAATGGAACAAAACTACAAGGATGAGAAGTTCAAAGCAAACAATTCGAGTGCCAAACATTCTGATTCGAACTAAGTAGTACATACATACATATGTATGTATATGGCTCATTCCACCTCAAATCACCCAGGCCGGCGGAAAGTGAATTTAAGTTTGCGATAAAACTCACAGGGATTGTTCCTTGAACAATTTAAGGAGACACGTATTTTTTCTTTTTGCTCAGAAATGCGAATTTTTCGAATAATGAGTTTTTTTTTCCTTTTGAGTACGAACGCTTCTTTTTTCCTCTCTTAATAGCAACTTTTGATGAAATCGCTTATAACTGCCGCAAAAAAGCAAGGATTTTAACGATTTTTTTTTTTAATTGCAGATATTGATCTACTGAATCGATCTAGTGAACTAAAAGTCAGTAATTGTTTATTAATAATTAATTATTGTTTATAAACAAAAATTTTTTTTTTTTTTCAAATTGATTTTTTTCAAATTGCCACATCTTTTTTTTCTCTCAAACTTTTTTGTCTATTAGGGAATAGTATAAACTATTGTCAGTACGAGTAGCAATATGCTAAAATTCGTGGTTTCGAGTTATGATTTTTTTTCTGAAAATGCACTTATATGATGCTAGCAGATTTTCGTGCCAGTTGAGGACGCAAAAATTGTTGCCCATTATGATAAAGTTTCCTTGCTGGAAATTTTTTGAGGTTGCCCGATCAGAGCCAAAAGTTTTTTCCAATTGGGCTCTAATTTTGGCCCAATTGGGGCCCAATTAGCGATTTGCCCAATCTACCGAAGATTTCCCCAACCAGTGCTCACAATTTGCTCAAAGTGAACATGCATACGCAATTAAAACGTTTTTATCGATAAAATCACACATACACACATCAAAATTCCGTACGAAAAAAAAATTGATTTTAATTTTTCTCTTGAAAAATTTTCCACATACAAATTTTTTGATAAAAAAAAAATAGTTTTTGTAAATATGCCATCTCAAAAAAAAATTGGAAAAAATCACAATGGTAGCTCTGAGTATTGCGCAAGGAAACTTTATCATAATGGGCAACAATTTTTGCGTCCTCAACTGGCACGAAAATCTGCTAGCATCATATAAGTGCATTTTCAGAAAAAAAATCATAACTCGAAAACGACGAATTTTAGCATATTGCTACTCGTACTGAAAATAATGTATACTATTCCCTAATAGACAAAAAAGTTAGAGAGAAAAAAAAGATGTGGCAATTTGAAAAAAATCAATTTGAAAAACAAATTTTTGTTTATAAACAATAATTAATTATTAATAAACAATTACTGATTTTTAGTTCACTAGATCGATTCAGTAGATCAATATCTGCAATTAAAAAAAAAATCGTTAAAATCCTTGCTTTTTTGCGGCAGTTTTAAGCGATTTCATCAAAAGTTGCTATTAAGAGAGGAAAAAAGAAGCGTTCGTACTCAAAAAGAAAAAAATTCATTATTCGAAAAATTCGCATTTCTGAGCAAAAAGAAAAAATACGTGTCTCCTTAAATTGTTCAAGGAACAATCCCTGTGAGTTTTATCGCAAACTTAAATTCACTTTCCGCCGGCCTGGGTGATTTGAGATGGAATGAGCCGAGTTCCATAACAAAACGCAATAACTCCACTTTTCTTCTTTTTCGAGAATTTTGTACAATCGAATGACATTTTATTTCCTCGAAATAATGTGCCAGTGCAGTAAAATTTTTCTTTAGTCAGCATTTTTTCTGCGTTGTTTGTTCTTTTCTCAATATATTGCCCTCTGACCCGAAAAAAGTGGAATATGTTCTACCCTTATTGAGCCGAGCCGATTTTCATTCATTTGTAATTATTCTTTATTCATTAGTTTATGTATAATGACAGTGAATTGTATAAGTTTATTAAAATTAATAAAATGTAGTTCCAAATTAGGAATCATGAATTTTTAAGTTGACATTTTTTTCGATCTTCTCTTTAATAAATAATGCAACCATTTTATAGGGCGCAGGGTCACATTTACATAATGTTGCCATATATTAAAGCAATATTTTCATTCAGAAAAGGAATCGCTTTAACTCTGCTTTTTGAAATCTATGGGGAGTATTCATAGTCCAAATAAACTCGACACTAAAATTAGTTGCAGCTTCTTGACATAATTTCCAATGGACTATCTGTCAAAACAGCTACAACTAACTTTATAAACGACTTTATTTCAGACCAAATCGCAATATTTTCTTGTTCAATCCATCCTAGGAGATAATTTAGGTAGGCCTTCTTAACTGAAGCCATTCTAGGAAGCCTACCCAAGAAGGGCTGAAAAGAGTGTTTCCTTGCATGCCTTCATATATTCATAGTACTATGATATTACCACAACTAAGGGATGTGGCCAACCTTTTCAAGCTGAGAAGTAACAGACTAGAAAGACTTATCCATTTAAAATTTACGCGAATGCGTAAATTTATTATTTAGCATTACATATGAATTTCAATAAACATTTTAAGTTGAAATAACACATATTTGATATAAACCTTAGGCAAATTCTTCAAAAATGTATTTTATAAATTAAAGAAGCAACTTTAAAAGAACTGCTACAAAAGGACTTCTGAAGTACGTTCTATAAAAGCCCTTCTGGAAGGCCTTCCATGGGTAGCGAAAGAAGAAGCCCTTCAATTTATGCCACTCCATACAAAAAAGAAAGGAGGAAGGAATCTAGAGTGGAAGGCATCTTGACTCTCAGGAAGGTCTTTCGGAAGGGCTTTTAACTCCTGAAATTATCCACTGGGATATACCGAAGTCAGATACTGGAATTGGAAAGAGTTTTTTGTAAAATGAGCAGATAATTTTTTCAAAGCGTTGTCGATGTGTTCAAGTTAATCATTCCAACCGAAATGCAATAAAACCTTTTGTTCAGACCAGAAAGGTGTAATTCCGAAAATTCAAAGCAAAAAGCAAAGCTATTAGTAGGTACACAACCATTCAAATATAATATATAGTTTCTATTGAGAAATATGCATCTATTTTGCATTTTCTCAATTATCTAGAAACTGTTCATGTGGGATTATTGCGTTTTGGTATCGAGATCCTCACATAGTTTGACAAATTCAACACTAAAAAAACAGGTTTTAGCACTTTGTCAACATATGTAAATATTGCTGTCTGTTTATGCATGGCACATGGTATATCCCTTCCACAAATATAGCATATTTTACAATTTTAATACATTCCGTGTGGTTCTATGGTTATTGCAAAAGAATTCGCGAGCAAATTATATATTCAAAATAAAACTGTTTAAAGTAGTGCAAATACTATATAAAAATAAAAACAAGTGGAAAAAACTAAAGGTTAGATGTTTAGCATCCATAAAAAGCAACGAAAGAAGGTAGTCGAATCAAGATTACAAAGCGTAGTCTCAGCTAAGTACATTCCCTGCCTCAGAAGGTCATAACTCACCTATCGAACAACGACGGTTTCTCTTTCTTCACATAATTGCTAGGTACATAACCTGATTGATTGCGATTATTTTGCACACGCCACCAATGTTTCGAGTCGTCAAGCAGTAAGTATCGTTCGTTTTTTCGCAAATCTAATTCTTGCGCTCCTTGCGCCGCGTAATCGTATTTGGCCACAACGTAGCAAACATCTTCTTGTGATTTGCCTGCAAAAACCAATGAAAAATATTAAAAACTAGTCGGATTCAATTAACAGTTGACTTACGTACATACACATGCACCAGGTAATTTAAAAATGTTTGCACTCTTCTGTTTGCAATATAGACTAGTACGCCCGGTTGAGATTTATAGGTACATGTACATGTACTAAGTCGTATCACGACATACAGAAAAGAGTTTAGTTACGTCAACACATGATTTGGTTATAGTTACATTATTTGTTTATACTTAGTTACCAAATCATATGTTGAGAGGAACATATTTGGCTGACTTTTTTCTGAGTGTATGAAAGAAAACGAGTTCAGCGTGTTTCAATTTTATTTAAACACTTATGTGGAAAGAAAATTTAGACACCCGCTAAAGATAGCTAAATTACGTTTTTTGCTATAACTTTCTTATTTTACATCCGATTTTATAAATCTTTATGACGGCGAAAAGGTCTCGCTTATTTTAATTTATATCTTCACTAATTTTGGGAAATACTATCAACAGATTTTTATTTTTACACTCTAAATCTTAAGCTCTCAAAAAACGATTACGAACTTGCTAAAAAGGATTAGGCTTCATTCCCAAACAAAAAAGTTATAATCTTTTTTTTTGTTGTATTTAACATTTCATGATCTGCATTTAGCATATTTTGTATGCTAATAGCTCGACCATCGAAAAAGGTTGATACACTTGAACGGTTGTAACTCAGTTGGGAAACAATTTTAAATAGTTGACCGAGTTCCTGTCTTGCTTAGCTTAAATCAAAAACCTATAATCAAAAATTAATATTCTTGAAAGTATGAAGTTTCTACTGAAGAAGAGATCGCAGCAGTAAAAAAAATGTTTTTGAAGTTTAGCGACGGTTGGGAGTAAATGGGCAAATTGAACGGAAATGATGCACACTGAAACTGTTGGGACGGAAATGGTTTCAACAGAAACAAGTGCTTGTTAAATGCATGCACATGGTATTAATTTAACAAAAACGTGCTAATAAGCTGTTTTAGAATCAGATTTAGATTAAGACCAATACAAGAACAAACGTAAAGGTTAGTACATACTAAGATGAAGAAAAGGATAAAGGCAAAGGTAAAATTTTAAAAAAAGCAAAGATACGTAAAGATAACGGCATAAATTAAGATCAAGGTAAATCTAAACAAATAAATGCGCACCAAAGAAGATTGGACAAACAACAGAACTTCTCCGTGTACAACATAAAGGACAAAGATTGAATATATTAGAAAATATGGAAATATATAAGCAGAAGACCTTCAAAGGACAAATAATAAATGAGCAAATAAATACTGTATCGGACGTACTGTTTGAACCTCTAAAACTATTGTACGAGAAGAAAATGACAAAATATTGAGGATAGACATGGAAGGTTATACACTAACTACAAAAACAAAGACCAGCAAACACAAGCCAGAACAATTCATCTACCTATTCAGCACTGAAAAACTAAGACGTACCTAAAAAAAGAAAGAGGTAGTTAATAAGGAGTATAAATATGAGAAACCAACAAAAATTATCCAGAACGAAAAATGATACTGAAGATGGCACAACGCCGAAACCGGTTTGTCTCCAAACCCAATTTGACAAGGGATGGCGGAAATTCGTTCCACAATGCATCATACACCCACCCTGTCGGAAACAACAACAACCAAAAAGGAAATATTTATGCCAGTCAGGCATATTATTCCAAAACCAACTTACTATTGATTGTATACCAACGACGTTCACTGAAGATCAACAACACAAACGCCAATATTTGGTTTAATAAACAATGTATTGCTATGAATATGATACCAAAATACGCCCAAATGAAACCGAAATCAAAAACAGCAGCGAGTCAGAAAATTGTCATGAAAGCTGAGAACAACTACCTACAATGGGAATTAAAAAACTTGCAAGCCAAAAAGGAACACATATGTCGGCACATAATTGAAAAAGACATAAAGACCAAGAAGACTAGGAAGCAGAAGGATGAAAACCAAACCATAAAAGGGCTCAAAGAAAAGTTTAAGGCAAGCAATGTTATAACCACAAAAGCAGGACAAAGGCAATACCACCGTAATAATTGATAAAAAAGATTACAAGAGAAAACTGAAAAACTAATAACTGAAATAGGGTGCAATAAATTGGGAAATGATCCCAAAGAATACCAGGCAGCAATAAAGAATACCATAAAGAAAAGCACAACCATAATAAAGGATAATCTAGCATATAGACTAATACTTATGAACCTGAGTGTCCCTCCATTGATTGCCTTGCCAAAGATACACAAACCAGGCACTCCGATGAGACCTATCATTAACTAAAGTCTGCTCCCTGTACAGACTCTCCAAGCCCCTTAAGACGCTGCTGAAGGATAACCTGAATTTACGAAATAAATACACCATTACGAATACAGCAGAACTAATCGAGAAGATGAAATCGTTGAAGATCAACAAAAACAATTCGTATCATTCGACATCAAGGGCCTTTACCCATCGATACCAACAATAGAAACCATAAAAACCGTACAAGAAATACTGATTGAAAAAATGAAAAGAGAAGCTGCTACGGAAATAGTAAACGCATTGAAGGTTACATTAAAACAGAACTACTTCCAGTTCAATAATAAGATATATAAACAGACGAAGGATAGGAATGGGCAATCCGACGTCAGCAATACTCATGGAAGTATTCATGCAAACACTAGAGGAGAAATATATGGGAAACCTATCGACCAACCTAGGAGTAAAATTCTACGCGAGATATGTCGATGATGTAATATGTCTAATAGAGGGAAACAAAGAGAAGCAGATACTCGACTATCTCAACAAACAACGCCAGAATATAAAATTCACTAAAGAAACGGAAGAGGAAAGGAAGACTAACTATCTGGATTTAACAATTGAACAATGGAAATAAACAATACCACAAGCAAGATAGAGTTTGAGATGTACAGAAAACCAACAGCCACAGAAACAATAACAACAGCTCACACTATCCACAGCAACACAAAAATTCAGCACTTAGACAACTAATAACGAGGCTTGAAAGGACCCCTCTAACAGAAGAAGACTACAAGAATGAACTGGATACAATATATGCCATTGCGCAATATAACGGATATAAGAGGCCTGGTTGAAAAGTTAAGAAAGGACACAAAATCGAAAAAGACAAGCAAAGAGGAAAACAATAAAAAAAACTTGGGCAGTTCTAACTTACACGGGAAAGACATCGTATAAACTTGCTTAATTCTTTCATAAGTACGACATTCAGACATCATTTAAAACAAGGAACACTGTGGGAGGAATATTGAAAAAGAAAATAAGCGAGGAAGTCCCCCTAGATAAACAGGGCGTTTACAAGTTAACCTGCGAATGCCGATACAGCTACATAGGACAAACAGGACGAAATATAAGAACAAGGTATCGAGAACACATAAGGGATTATAATAAGAAAAAACGTAAACCAGAGGCTACAATAGAATCGAACTTCGCAAATCACATGATCAAAAATAAATGCGCACCAATGAAGATTGGACAAACAACAGAACTTCCCCGAGTACAACATAAAGGACAAAGATTGAATATATTACAAAATATGGAAATATATAAACAGAAGCCCTTCAAAGGACAAATGAGCAAATAAATACGTTATCGGACGGACTGTTTGAACCTCTAAAACTGTTGTACGAGAAGAAAAATGACAAAATATTAAGGATAGACATGGAAGGGAATACACTAACTACAAAAACAAAGACCAGCATACACAAGCCAGAACAATTCATCTACCTATTCAGCACTGCAAAACTAAGACGTACCTAACAAAATAAAGAGGTAGTTAATAAGGAGTATTTATAAATACGAGCAACCAACAAAAATTATCCAGAACGAAAAATGACACTGAAGATGGCGCAACGCCGAAACCGGTTTGCCTCCAAACCATATTTGACAAGAGATGACGGAAATTCGTTCCAAAATACATCATAAATCTAAACACTTTAAGACAAAGGTTAAGGGGAATATGTCAAAATAAAGATAAATGTGAAGAAAAAGATGAGAATGAAGATCGATATTGTTATCTTTATAGTACTGATATTGCTATCGATATTTTTATCGAAATAATAATCTATATAGCAACCGATATTGTTATCACTATAATAATCAATACATTTATCGATATTTTCATCGGTATATTTAGCGACATTGTTATCGATATAATAACACTGGTTTACAGCAAAAATGTTCTATGGATGCCACTATCCAATTCCTATCTAGAATTGCCAAGTGATTCCGAAAATCGAGTTAATTTTTTTCTATGGATACGTTTTCGAGAAATTTTCGATTTACCGTTATTCAGCTTAAAGCAAAAAAATGGTTCCTTTTAATCACGTATATCTTACGAACCAATTTAAAAATCTTAATATAAAGTGAAGCAAATGAAAGCTAATAAAATTCTCCATAAACCGTATATACACCTCTTTCCGATAGTGATTATAGGTTCTGAAAAATTAATTAATCATTCCAGCTTTTTTTATTTTTTAGTGAAAAAAAGAAGAAACATTTAAAAAATAACAGGCTCTGTGCCAAATTTTTGCATTTCTGCTAAAGCCTGTCCTGTTACAAAAAAAAAAAAACAAAATGAATTACTAATGAAGAAAATCGATAGATTAATAAGAAATAATGAGTGCTCAAATGAAAATACGCCAAGATAATTTGTATGAAAAATTAGCAGAAAGGAAAGTTACTCATACGCCACGTACACCTAAGTAACACGCTTTTCTGCTCATATTGCATACAAAAAATCTTTGTGTATTTTCATTTGACCATTCATTACTTCTTTATTTATATCTCGCTTTCGTTCACTAGTAACTTGATTTTTTTTTGTAACAGAATAGGCTTTAGCAAAGAACCTGTTATTTTTTAAGTTCTTGTTCTGTTAAAATTTCATTTTTTCATTTAAAAAAAAATGGAATGATTAATAAATTTGTCAGAAACTATAAGTCCTA